CCTAAACCTCCCCCACTGCAACTTGAGACCATTACTCCTTGTCCTGTCCTCTTCTACCACTGAGAATAGTCTAGAACCATCCTCTCTGGAACCACCTCTCAGGTAGTTGAAAGCAGCTATCAAATCCTCTCTCATTCTTCTCTTCTGCAGACTAAACAATCCCAGTTCCCTCAGCCTCTCCTCATAAGTCATGTGTTCCAGACCCCCTAATCATTTTTGTTGCCCTTTGCTGGACTCTCTCCAATTTATCCACATCCTTCTTGTAGTATGGGGCCCAAAACTGGACACAGTACTCCAGATGAGGCCTCACCAATGTCGAATAGAGGGGAACGATCACGTCCCTTGATCTGCTCGCTATGCCACTACTTATACATCCCAAAATGTCATTGGCCTTCTTGGCAACAAGGGCACTCTGCTGACTCATATCCAGCTTCTCGTCCACTGTCACCCCTAGGTCCTTTTCCGCAGAACTGCTGCCTAGCCATTCGGTCCCTAGTCTGTAGCTGTGCATTGCGTTCTTCCGTCCTAAGTGCAGGATCCTGCACTTATCCTTATTGAACCTCATCAGATTTCTTTTGGCCCAATCCTCCAATTTGTCTAGGTCCCTCTGTATTCTATCCCTGCCCTCCAGCGTATCAACCACTCCTCCCAGTTTAGTATCATCCGCAAATTTGCTGAGAGTGCAATCCACACCATCCTCCAGATCATTTATGAAGATATTGAACAAAACCGGCCCCAGAGGAACCGGCCTTAAGAGGAACTACGGGACTTCTCAATGGGAGGGCAGCTTTAAATTGTGCATAGGCTCTACCAGAGCCAGCAGAGGCTGTGCTGAATCCAGGCCCAAGCACTATAGTAACACCCCTTTCCAAACCAGCACCACATCCCTAGTGCCCCTACAGCTGGGCTCCCATGGCAGCCAACATATCCCAGACTTCAGTCAAAGCCATGAAGTGCAGAATGGGTGTATTTATGTGCAGGAGTTTCTCTAGCTCTCTTCGCCATAGCATGGGAATGCCTTTGCTCCTCTTACCACTCCCCCCCCCACCCATTTCTTTTCTGTTGTTCCTTGGTTTGTCACTGACCAGACCATTGTGCTATGGCCTGACCAGGGCAGAAAGGTTTGTCTCCACCCTCGCAGGCAGCAGAAAGTTGCAGTCTAGTAAAAGGCCATGTGAACCGCCATGGAGTGCCATCAGCCTGCGAATCGCTACTGGGGACTCTTCCACCAGGGCTCTTGCTGAGAGTAGCCTCGCCCAAAAGGGAGTATACCAGGAAAGGAAAGTACTAGCTCAGCCCACAATGGTGCTAGGAACCCCCCGTCTAGCTAGCAACATCCGTACGTCACCTCCAGCCATGGGAGATTATTCTGCCATCAGAAATGCTTTGACTGAAATATGTGGCTTTCCTGGGAGCCTTCTGTGCTGACTCGGTCCTTGGAAATAAGCCCTGATGTAAAGCGATTGCTCATCCAGTTCTAGGACTATCAGGTGGCAGAGAGCAGCTGGACATGCCTTTCTCAGCATTCATCTCATACTTGTACATTATTCAAAGGGGAAAAAATAGCTTCAGCCTAGGGGAGATGGAAATTGCTCTTTTTGCTGCTGTCCTAAGCGGGGGTGAATTCTAAACAGGCTGTGGGACAAACAGAACCAGCCAAGGCCTGGCCTTGCATCATCAGTACTGCCAAGCTGGGTCTGATAGCACCTGTGGGACTGAGTCTGCTTTGCGACATGGGGCAGAGCAATAGCTCACTGCCCTGCCATGAGGAAGGAGCTTAGCTTTGGAAGCAGTCTCCAAAGCTCCTTTGGGCAAGGAGAGAGAGTGGTATCCTCTCCGAGAAAGGGAGGAAAACAGCTGTAGCAGTGGCCTTACAACATTGACTCACAGATTCATAGGTCAGAAAGGACCATCGTGAATATCTAATCTGACCTCCTGCATGTCACAGGCCACAGAACCTCACCCACCCACTCCTGTAACAAACCCCATACCTGTGGCTGAGTTACTGAAATCCTCCAATCACAATTTAAAGACATCCAGTTAGAGAATCCACCATTCACTCTAGTTCAAGTGTGGGCACACAATGGCCTGCAGGCCACATCCGGTCCACCAGCCGATTTAATCTGGGCCTTGCCCTGTTCCCGCTCTCCAGCCGAGGAGCGGGCTCGGGGGCTGCTCCGCACACGCGTGCCATGGCTCCACGTGGCTCCCAGAAGCAACAGCAGCATGTCCCTTCTCCGGCTTCTATGTGTAGGGGCAGCCAGGGGGCTCCGCGTCGGAGCCAGAGGGAGGACCTGCTGCTTCTGCTTCCGGGAGCTGCTTAAGGGAAGCGCTGCCTGGAGCCTGCACCTCTGAGCCCCTCCCATGTCCCAGCCCTGATCCCCTCCTGCAATCCAAACTCCTCAATCCCAGCCCAGAGCACCCTCCTGCACCCCAAACCCCCCAGCCCCACCCCAGAGCCTGCACCCCCAGATAGAGCTCTCACCCCCCTCCTGCACTCCAGCCCCAATTTCGTGAGCATTCATGGCCCGCCATACAATTTCCATACCCAGATGTGGCCCTCAGGCCAAAAAGTTTGCCCACCCCTGCTCTAGTTCAAACCAGCAGGTGAACCAGGCCCCACGCTGCAGAGGAAGGCAAAAAACTCTAGATTATCTGCTAGGAGAAAATTCCTTCCCAACCTTAAATATGGCGATCACTTAGACCCTGAGCATGTGGGTAAGACCACCAGCCAGGCACCTGGGAAAGAATTTCTGTGTAGTAACTCAGAGCCTTCCCCTTCTCGTGTCCTATCTCCAGCCATTGGAAGTATTTGCTGATAGCAGGAGGCAAGTCTAGTGATTAGAGCAGGGGACTGGGAGTCGGGACTCCTGGGTTTTATTCCCAATTTGCTGTGTGACCACAGGCAAGTCTTTTAACTTCTCTGTGTATCAGTCCCCCCATTTGTAATATGTCACACTGCCGTAGTGTGCCCACCCCTGAACTAGAGACAGTGGTGGATTCTCTAACTTGACTTCTTTAAATTGTGATTGGAGGATTTCAGATAATATGGATGACCTACCTCACAGTGGGGCTGTAATCTGAATTGATTGTTTGTACAGCTGTTTATGGTCCTTGGATGACAGATACCATCGTACAACATATTGATAGAGCTGCACAGGTCACAACCCTAAAGAAAGGATGGCTCTTGCCCTGTCATCATGTAAGGCATTAAAATACTGCCTGGGTAGCAGGAGGCAGGTAAGATGCCCAAGACTAAGGGAGGTGGGACCCAGCTTTCTCCTTCCCCATAACATCTTGCTACAATTCTTGAGAGGAAATGATAGGTGAGGGGAATAGGCAGGGAAAGCTGGCCAAGAATGTAATACAAGGAGTAATGGTCTTAAGCTAACCATGAATAAAGGCAGGTTTATATTCGATATAAGGAAAAAATACCCTCGTGGTAAGAGCAATTAGCAGAGCAGCAATCAAAGGAGATCACAGAGGTGTTACCTATAGAAATGTTCAAAAACATTAAAGGAGGATGGAATAGCTGGCCCAAGAGGATTACATTTGGTTACTTCCAAGATGTCTTCCAGCCCTGATTTCCATGAACCCTAACAACTGCTCAGTTAAATCTACAAAGCAGGTGGAGGCTGAGTGGAAAGACACAGAATTATAGAACCACAGAAGTAAGAGATTCAATGGTCCTGTTAGGTCACTTCGGGTATATCTACACTGCATTGTAAACTCAGCTCTGTGGGACTCAGGCTTGGGGACGTCAAAGCCTGTGTTTGAGCATCCACACTGCATTGTAAACCTGGGTTTACAATTGCTGGACCTGGGTTTCCACAGCCATGCTAATGTGTCCACACTGCACTGCACAGACCTTCTGGCTAGGGTCTGCAGCTTGAGCTGTGTCCACACCGTAAACCAACAGGGCTTTGGTCCAAGTCACAGTAGAACTCCGGCTCTGACCCAGCAGAGTCCTCGATCCCGGTTCCTGAGTGCTTGGTGACTTGATTCACACTGATTTGTGTGTGGACGGAAGGGGGCTTGGGCTCAAATATGAGTCAGAGTCAGGCTTTAGTGTGCAGTGTAGACATACTCCTCTAGTCCATCACCCAGAGGCCAGTGTAGGATTGTTCCCTAGAGTGTATTCTCTGGTGTTTTGTCCCAGTTTAAATATCTTAAGTGAGGGGGCTCCCACCACAGGGCATTGTCAGAGTTGACTGAGATATTTTCCCCCCTCGCTTCGCCTCACTGGCATGCCCATGCATGAAAAGCAATCTCCTCTACTGGAGCTAGCCGGCTAGTGCCACATGCAGACCCTGCTGATGCAAACAAGGCTGCAGCAAAATCACCTTCCAAAGGGGGAGGAAAGTGGACAGGCCCCCTTGATTTTGACAGGGTGGGAGGACCAGCCCTAAGGAGATGTAAGCCATTGGTAACAATATTTTGGGATGGCTCTGAGTGGAGACTGTCTCCATTTTCTGTTCTCAAACTGTCTCACAGCAATTCTCCTTCACCATGAGGGCTGGGTGTGACCCCTTTGGAGTCCATCCATATTGCTCCTTTGCTTGGACACAGCGGTGGCTATAGAGTGGATGGGGTTGCTTTGTCCCCAGGTGCTGTCCCCAGCCTAGGCAGTGAGAGACCAGGCTTAGGACTCTCACCCGAGTCACTTTTCTGGAGCGCAGGTGTTACCAGCACACTCTCGAACCCAGACAGTTCCAGTACCTGCCATCTCCCTCCTGTTCTCAACAGAAATCAGGGTGGGGATGAGTGGAGTCCTGCCACTTTTTGTGCTTGAATTCTAGACTCCCAACATATTCCCTGAGCGCCTGCCAGAAGAGACCCTGAATGACCTAAGCCACCAGCTCAGATCCCTGCAGGGCTGGCCTGGCCCTGCCTCCATCCACGTGAGAGAAGCTGGGTGAAGGCCCTTTCAGCCTGGGAAGGGGAGTTAGCACAGGCAGGTTGCAGCGGGGGTGTAGATAGGTGTGTCTGGGGGCACTTACTGGCTTGTTTGGCTTTCTCTGCATAGGTGGTGGTTAAATCTTCATCGACTGGGTGTTCTACTGGCCCCACCATGGGGATGAGGTGGCGCTCAGCTCGGATGGTCTTGGTGGCATGGGGCAGGAGCATGGCCTCTGGGGAGAGCTCCCTGCTCTCTGCTTGGGGTGGCTGCAGCAGCACCTCACTCTCCAAGAAAGAGGTGTCCGTGCGGCTGCCAGGCTGCTGCACGATGTCTTTCTTGGCCACGCCACTCATGTTCTCTCCGGCCTGTGCTGCTGCCTCCGGGGTGCTGTCATAGCCACTCAGCTCAGACAGGGACACCTCGTCCTGTGGCTCGCCTGGCTTGTTGTTGGAGCCCCCAGGTGGAGAGCGAGGGCTCTTCTTGCGGGCCCGCCGGTGCTTCTCCTGGGCAATGTTGTCGGCGTCGCTGTCCGTCTCGCCGTAGTACGCCTCACTGTCGGGGGGCGAGGTCAGGCTCTCCAGCTGCTGCTGCCGCCTGCGCTGCAGCTCCAGTGGGGTGGTAGCCGGGGGACCAGCTGGCTCTGGGCTGACTGGGGATGGTGGGGAGAGCACTCGCAGCTGCCCAGGGGAAAGCGAGTGCAGGGGCCGTGTGCCAGACCGGTCTCTGCCAGCCGCCCTGTGAAGAAAAGGAGGAGTGACTCAGTGAATTTCAGTCTGTGGACGAATTCCTAGGATGCAGGGGGTTTGGCCCTCAGCATAGGGGAGGGACAGGGTCCGTAAGTGTCTCGCCTATCCGGATGATACAGGCCAAATTCAAACCCACTGTTTGCAGGTGCGACTCGGATGGCTATATCAGGGCCAATTCATCACTGACATTTCTCTGCTTCCTAGCTTGGCTGTGCTGGAAAGGGTGTTGGCTGTACCTGCGACACAGGAATAGCAAGTTGCACCCCGTCTTTCCCTCCCCCAGACCTTGGGAGCTGCTATGCTTCTCAAAAGGCATATTGTCTCTGTTAGGATATAGATATTCAGGCCTGTCTGCAAAGGCCTGTACTTTAAGAATTTAAGTGTATTCTTATCACTTGGCTAATTCTAAAGGTATAAAAGAAAGAATCAAAATCACTGTCTGCTGGTGTAAGGGCCTTCTCTTACTGTGACAGTTTGAGGCCCTGTGCTTAGGCTAAGGCCTTTGGCTAAGCAGCAGAGGCAGCCATAAGCTGGGAAGCGACAGGTCACATCCTCACATTCCAAACTAGTCACATTGAAATCAGGTGCTCTTGGGCTGTTAGGAATACAATCCTGTCCTGATAATGCCTATCTCCTCCAGAGAAAGGGAAGTGCCTAGAAGATGTAAAAGGAAACTTAGTTTGATAGCATCCTGTCTGGCAAGAACTCACTTATCAATACTGGGATGTGAAATCCTCACTTCTGTATTGTTTTGTCATTATAGTTCCCACTTTGCTATTGTTTGTCTGTATAATCTCTGTCTGGTTCTGTGATTGTTCCTGTCTGCTGTATAATTAATTTTGCTGGGTGTAAATTAATTCAGGTGGTGGGATATAATTGGTTACATAATCATGTTACAATATGTTAGGATTTGTTAGTTAAATTTCAGGAAAATGATTGGTTAAGGTATAGCAAAGCAGAACTCAAGTTTTACTATATAGCCTGCAGTCAGTCAGGAAGTGAGTGGGTGGGTGTGGGTGGGGGAGATGGGAATGGGGGTGAGGAAATTGGAATCATGTTTTGCTAAGGGCAGGAATGAGAATAAGGACACAGGTGTAAGGCTCTGTGGTGTCAGAGCTGGGAAGGAGGACACTAAGGAAGGAAACTGGAATGCTTGCTGGAAGTTCACCCCAATAAACATCGAATTGTTTGCACCTTTGGACTTCGGGTATTGTTGCTCTCTGTTCATGCGAGAAGGACCAGGGAAGGAAGCGGGTGAAGGAATAAGCCCCCTAACAGTCTCCAGGCCCCACAGCAGGGGAAAGGCACCTTCTCCTCCTGTGACCATCCCAGTTTGGCTGGTGAGAGCTGTAACTGAGCCCTGTACTCTGGTGTCTGACTGTATATCCCATGGGCTCAGTCCTGAGGGTTCTGGCCATGCAAAAATCAGTGGTACTTTTACTTGCAAAAGACTGAGTCAGGACTCCATGATTTGGCCCCTTGGGTTCTCACTGGGGCCGAATTCTGCCGTTCTTATTACCCAGAACCTGCTGTGTCAGAACTCCCACGAGGCTGTGTCTACACTTACAGCGGCACGCACAGTACAGGCACTACACATGTAGCTACACCCTGCAGCAGAAGCCAGGCTGTATCCACACTTGCTGCTATGGTGCATAGCTACATGCCGCAGTGCAAGGCTCTGGCAGCAGGGAGGTAGCGGGATGCTACACTGCTAAAAATAGCAGCATTAGATGTGGGAGGCCCAGCTTGGGCAAGTGGAGAGCCACGTAGGGTACATCTCCAGGGTTCAGGCGTGTAGGGCATTCTACTCACATAAACCGTGCCTCACTATCTCCACTGCTGTGTATACCTGTGCTAGCTCAGTGTGCAGAGTCTGTACACTACACGCCACTGTACGTGCAGCTGCGCCTTCAGTCAGGTACGTCCTGAGTCAGGACTTGGCAGTTTGGCACGTGGTCTGGGAAAAGGTGGTTCAGAAGCAGTTATGCTTCATCTTTCAAACCAGTAAAAGCTTGAGAAAGAAAAGCTCATATGGCATCAAGGGAAACTTTCACTGTGAGCCCTAAGGGAGGCGGGGACTGGGCATATGCTTGTACTGCAAGTGGTCAGAGCAGGCAGGTCTCTTTTAAATGTAAGGGTTCATGAAGGATAATTTGTTGCTTTGCTGTATAGTGTAAAAAAAAAAAAAATTGGAATGACAGGCAACTACATCCTTGTTTTCAAAAGGGTTTGGAGTACTTAGGAGCCAAAATCCCATTGAAAGTCAATTGGATTTAGGCTCCTAAGTGCCTAAATCCCTTTGAAGATGTCAATTAACTTCTCAGTCAATTAACTGTTGCAATGCTGAGTGTAGCAACACCTACATACCATTAAAAATCTGGGTCTTAGGTGCTTTTGACAATTGTACCACTTGGCTTCCTCTCAATGACCGCGAAGGGGATAAAATGTGAGAGCAGTGTGCAAGGGGGCTGTGACAGTGTTCCATTTGGGCTATCGGGAAGGGAAGAAGTGGTAGCACCAAGTATCATTGTTATACAGTCTAATTAGGTCAGAGCAGTAGCACCATAGAGCTAACCTTCTACACTTTCCACAGTGTGCATCCGATGAAGTGAGCTGGAGCTCACGAAAGCTCATGCTCAAATAAATTGGTTAGTCTCTAAGGTGCCACAAGTACTCCTTTTCTTTTTGCGAATACAGACTAACACGGCTGTTACTCTGAAACCCGTCCAGGAACTCTGGCGCTCTCAGGGCCTGCAGCACCCCCATGATGCACTCTAGTGCCATCTGGCTAACTCACAAGGTAATTCCCATTGCCACAACTGCTTACCTTTGGGGGGGCACCATGCATGCAAATCATGCAAGAGAGAGCTCTGAATGAAAATGTGAACTGCTGAGGGTGCAAGGCAGTCTTGGAATTTGGTTCTGTTGGAAATGGTCTAGTTCGAGGCTTCTGAAACATTGCAACGGTGAGGGCCACATGCACATCTTGACCGAGGGATGTCTCATTCACACACTCCTTCCCACTGCTGGTTATTAGGATGACCTCCGCTCTCACTCATAGCTGTGCAGGCCACCATCCCCTCCCTCACATGGCCTCCCAGACCAACTCTTTCAGCATCCCTGAATCCCTAAAATAAAAAGATGCCTGTCTCACTCCCTTCCTTCCCCCTGCTGCTTTTTTTTAAAATAACCGAGCATTACTCCTTGCTGTGGGAATCCGAGCTAGGAACAGTACTCTGGAGTCCTGGCTGTTAGGCCCCATCTCTCACTCGCACTCACTGGAATCAGCACGCTGACTCTCCCATTGGGAAGGAAATGAAGGCTGTGCTGCATGGGAACATGCATCTCTGCTCCCTGAGCCATATTTAACAGGCAGCAGCATTTGGCAAGCCCCATTGAAGAGTAAGGCCAGCTAGTTATGTTATCCCAAAGCCATCTAATGCTGGCCTCTGGACAGCTGATTCACACCCCCAGTGCGGAGACTGCCTATGTCACTTTGCTAATTCAAAGTGTGTTGATTTTTGTCCCAGTGGAATTTGTCCCAGCACCTGCTGCCTGCAGGCGGTCTCCAGTGTGGTGACATAAGGCCAGTGCTATTCTAGACACCTTCCACAGGCCTCTCTTGTCACACTTAAGCACTGGTAAGAGCCCAGAACCACAGGTGACCACAGCAGAATGTCTCAGTGCCCTGGCTCACTCCCGCTAGACCAGGAGTAGGCAAACTTTTTGGCCTGAGGGCCACATCTGGGTGGGGAAATTGTATGCAGGGCCATGAATGTAGGGCTGGGGCAGGAGGTTGGGGTGCGGGAAGGGGGTGTGGTGTGCAGGAAAGGGCTCAGGGCAAAGGGTTGGGGTGCAGGAGGGGGCTCAGGACAGGGTATTGGGGGGCAGGAGGTGTGCAGCAGGAAGTTAGGGGGCTCAGGGCAGGGGTTTGGGGTACAGGAGGGGTTTGGGTTGGGTGCTCTGGCCCAGCGCTGCTTACCACGAGCAGCTCCGGGGTGGCAGCGGGGCTAAGGCAGGATCCCTCCCTGCCCTGGCCCTACACTGCTCCCAGAAGTTGCCAACATGTCTGGCAGTTGCTCCTGGGGGAGGGGTGGGGCAGGTGGCTCTGCTGCACACTGCCGTCACCTGTGGGTACCACCCCCAAAGCTCCCATTGGCCACGGTTCCCCACTCCCGGCCAATGGGAGCTGTGGGGGGCGGTGCCTGCAGGAGAGGGCAGCACACAGAGCTCTCCCCTAGGGGTTGTAGGGATGTGGTGCTGGCCACTTGCGGGAGGGGCACAGGGCCAGGGCAGGCAGGGAGCCTGCCTTAGCCCCGCTGCGTCATGGGACTGGCAATCCCCTGGGCTGTATTGAAAGCCCTGACAGGCTAGATCTGGCCCCTCCCCTGCACTAGATGGAGACCTGGTACTGATTCCTTGTGGGTGGGGTCATCCTGCCCTTTTCTTCCCTGCGTCAGCACAGCCACCCTCAGGCCCCACTCTGCAGAGACCATCAGCCAGTGTGTTTCTTTATCGCTGTGGAAGGGACATTCACTAGTGCTTTGTCCAGTCTTGGGTACAATAGGGGTGAATTCTGCACTCTCATGGAGAGGGAGGAGATGGGACTTCCCAGGGCTTTTCTATCTCTAACCTACAGGATTTACTCTTGACCTGGATTGGACCCTAATCCAGCAAACCCTAAAGCACTTGTTTAACTTCTCAGGAATAGTCCCACTGAAGCCTACTCATGTGCTTGAAGTTAGTCCCCTGCTTCAGTGCTTTGCTGGATCAGGACATTAGCCAGCTGGACCTCTTGCAGGCCAGAGGGGGGAACATGTCTGGATGTATGCTTCTGACTTATCTATGCCCCTGTTTCCATCCCATTATAGGCCTTACTATGGAATGCTGTCATTAATGCACCATGCCATGTTTCCTTTAATGTAACTGGCCCCTGTGTAATCAAACCCAGTTGTACAGAATACTCGTTTATCCAAAGTAAAGCAATGTCACTAATGTTACTTATGACTGTGATGAACTGTCTGGTTTGAAACACTGCCTGCTGCAGAATGGAATCATAATTGCTCATCTATGAGTCATATTCCCTACATTGCTAACATTGATTCCCTTAGCTAAAGCAATAGGAGCAGGAGGACCTAAGTTCTGTTCCCCACTATTGCCATGCAATCTAATGGGCCGTGGAGTATGGCATAGAGACAACCAGGAAGCCCTAAGAGGCCATACACTTGTTGAATGCAAATTCCTCCAGAGGCCTGTTTTTCTGACTTGTTTTCATGCCCCAGTGTACTAGGACAAGGCTGCCCTGCCTTGTGTTAGCTAAAGTGATACCCGCATCCAGCTGCATGACAGCTGCTGTGCAGAATGAAGCTGCGCTGCAGGGGGGCTGTATCCCTGCAGTTTGCTCCCTGCCTGGAGCCCGCACTTGGCTGTTACCGTTTCACACAGATGTGGAGCGTGTCGCTGGAGGAGTCGATGATGTGCATGGCGCTGGCGTGGGAAAGGCCAGTGCATGGCTTCCCGTTGATGGACACCAGTTCGTCGTTTTCCCACAGGCCCCCCCGGCAGGCTTTGCTTCTCTTGCGGATCTGGAAGAGGGAAAGCAGAGGGAGGCGGGGAGGGAGGGAAGGAAGTAGACTGTCTAACTCAATTGACTTTCAGCAACTGACTTATTCATTGCTCTGCAAACTGTCCCCAGATAAGCCACATGAGGGCAGGGGGTGCTGCTCACTCAGAGCAAAGCACCAGGGGCTACTAGGAGGGCCATGGAGTCCAATCCTAGCTGACCCATAAGACCTCAGTCAATCCTCATAAATCTCAGTGCCCGTGAAGGGGTCCTTCTGATCTGCTAGGCACAGAGCTGAGCTCTTCATTAGCCAGATTCCAGTCTCTTAGTGTGAATTAACACCTGGACGCTCCTCTTCCTGCCTCTCATTGCCCACCCCTCCCCCTGGTTTCGAAGGGTGTCTGTGCTTGCAGGGTGGGAGCAGGGGCACTTTCACAATTAGCCGTTAATCCAGCTGTGTCTCAGCTTCCCTGGCTGGGGTGGCTGAAGCCATCTCTCCAGTGGTCTTGCAAATAGAACGTGCACTGTGCATAAGTGGCTTTTCCTTTTCTCACCTCTAGACCCTTGGGATAGGGCCAGAATAAATGACACCTGCGTTGTAGGGAAGTGCTTTTCAAATGTGGCTGCATGCAGCCACCAGAGGCCTTTCTTGCTGCCACAGCCTCCTGGGTAGTGATGGTGGGGGGGAAAGCAGTGGCCCCTCCCACAGAGCTGCCAGCAGGGGCTGGGCCCTGCCCTCCTTTGCAGACACAAATGCCAGAGGAGCAGGCCACTGGTGTGAGTTCCCGACCTTCACAGGGGTGGTGGGGCTTGGGCTTCCAGCTTCAGCCCTGGGGTGGCGGGTGCCAGGCTCCAGACGCAGGGCTTCAGGCGCCATCCACCAGCCAGGGGGTTTTGGGCTCCAGCCCCAGGCTTGCCCCCCCCCCCATTCCCCTGGTCCCCACTGCTTCCCTATCCACCTCTCCGTCCATGGCTTTCCGAGGATGCATAAGTCTGCTGTGAAAAGCAATATTTGTATGTGTGTTAATATCACTTTTTACTGTCTCCCAGCTAGCTAGTAAGTCTGCTGTGAAAAGTGATATATACATAATCAGTTTTCACAGCAGCAGCCATACTAGCTAGCAAATCTTTAAAAAAAAAAAAAGCAGCCAAAAAAGCAAAAGAAACAACAAAATAGACACGAATGTGCAAAGCACCTTATTTTGTTTCTATTTTGTTTAGGTCCAGTAAAGAATAGAGACAACTGTATGTTATTTTTATTACTGAGTCTGCACAAAAACCCTACATAAATAAATTACAATGATTTGGACATGTATATGTGCATATTTTTGTTTTTCCTAAAGTTAATTAAGTATTTAAGGGAAAAATTGTCAGAGCGGCCACCAGCAAGAGTTGGTGGCCTCACTCTGACGCCACCAAAAAATTTCTTGTGAGAACCCCTGCGAGGGGCACTTGTAATGCAGACTGGACAGGCACGGAGCAACGAATAGTAATTAGCATGGATTGGATGGTGGGTCACAACACCTTCGGAGAGCTCCATTCCTAGCCAGGGATGCCTGTGTCATGATGCCTGGGTGGCGAAGGAGAGTCTCACAGAAGTGTCCCTGAAATCTCTGCACCATAAGACACCCTGTTCTCCGCCCATTATGCCCCTGTGCCACATGCCCCAAGGGAAATGTCCATTTGGTAGGACCAAACATAGTGGTGGTACCGTGGTGGGGTAAGTTACACATTACTTCTTGTCAACTGTTGAGAATATCCCACTTCCACCTTAACTGAATTGGCTCGTTAGCACTGACCCCGCACTTGGTAAGGCAACTCCCATCTTTTCATATGCTGTGTATTTATACCTCCCTACTGTATGTTCCACTCCATGCATCTGATGAAGTGGGTTTTAGCCCACGAAAGCTTATGCCTAAATAAATTTGTTAGTCTCTACGGTGACACAAGAACTCCTAATTGTTTTTATTGGGGGCCTGGTTTTCACTTCCTTTTCACTAGCATGAGTCAGGAGTAACTCCCCTGCAGCCAAATGCTGAGAGAAGAGACCCAGGCCCTAGGAGCCAGCTGTTTAGCAAGCAGGTGTTGCTAGCAGGTGTCACCTGCACTGAGGTGGCATTCAGTGGTTATGCCAAATAAGTGAAGCTCTCATCGATCTAGGATCCTGTGGGACCAAATACAGCCCCTGGGGCAAGGGGACATAGCACGCATTGAAATCAGTGGGAGCTGCTCCTGCTTCTGCCAGGTTTGAATTGCCCCCAGTAGTGTTAGGGCTGGTACAGGCATGAATTAAAGTAGAAAGGGGCATGGCCTTCTGTGCTTCTGCTGGAGGCATTTCCTGCTCCACGCCCCAGCTTCTGCCTCCTCAGCATGTAACTTACACCCGTTGTGCCAGTCACGGAGGGCCCCACGTTGTGAGAAGCTATGTGCTTCCAGGAGAAGGCTCCAACACCACCCAGCATTGGGCTCTGAGGGCCACATCTGGGCTAGTTACGTTACTTTATCACTTACATCCACTGAGATCTGCCTTGGGCCAAATGCTGCCTTGTTATGCTAATGCAAATCCGGAGTAACCCCTTAGCAGGCACTGGAGCTACCCTGGGTCTCCACTGATGTAACTGAGGCTGGTGTCTGGTTCCGAGGTTGCAGCAGAATGACAGTAGGGATGAATCTGGCTGCCTAAGGCTCTCTTACACCCAGTGGATAGTTTACCATCTTTTACATCACTTCTGAATTTGGCCCAGAGGCTTCCCGTCCCTTGGGAGCTGCTGTGTCACAGAGTGAAAGGTTTCTCCTGTGGCTGTGGTGGCATTCCTTCCTGTGTCGCTCCTACCTCTAGCAAGCCTTCTCCAACGCTGTAACTGTTACTAGGTAGCATGTTGCTTGTGGATTAGTGGGCAGTGTCAGTTACAAAGTCACAGGGGCCTGTGGCGATGTGTCATGGCCCCCCAGCCCAGAGGATGAGTGAGAGGCTGTAAGTCACTCTACACGCCATCTGGCAAGTGGGGCTGGGCAGACAAGCGCTACACCTTACTCCAGATACTGAGTACAAGCCTTGGACAGGGCCAGCTCTGGGGAGTGGAAGTCCGAGTCCTGATCATCGAGCACGTGCTTTCCCTGTGCCACTGGATGTTGCATTATTTAGATTATCACCTCTTCATTTAACACTATGAAGCTTCACTTGCATTGTAGACTGAAAAAGTGGCTCATTCTTTAAAGGCAGGGATGTAAGGTTAAATGGAAACTGCCGGGTAGTTCGGCCCGAAGTTAAAAACATAAAGGGACTGATTCTCATTTACAATAGGGCCCAATCACACTACAGTGGCAGTGGAAAGCGGCCCTATAGTTGTAGTAAATTACAATAATACCCATTTTAAAGCTACTTTATGCTGCCAGAGTGGTGTAAAGGGGCCTTAGTGTAAATGAGAATCAGGCCCTGAAAGCTTTTACAAAACCTATCTCTCATAGGCATTTTTCCATAAAATCAAAACAAAAAACCCAAATGAAAACAGCTTTATTTGTGTCTGAATTGTTCCATTCCCCCAAGCAAACAAAACACATACACAGCTGTTCCAAGAGGGTCCAAACCACTATTACCAGTAGGCTTAAGAGGAGAATTCTGGTCTGGTAGCACTGGAGACCCACATTGCACGCACTTAGCACAGGTGTGAATGATAAAACAAGATGCAGGGCAGTGGGGACTCAGGCCAGTGATTTTTAAGCTAATAGCCAACAGCTGAATTTGCAAATATTTCCCATGAATTTCTCTGGGTCCTGCAGTGGCGGGGAGCAAGAAATGAAGTCCATGCAGAGCATTTTATACCAGATCTAGTGCACCTTTGTGGTGGTGGGGGGAACCCCACAATGAGCCACAGGCCTGAGACATTTAATGTCACCCCCATCTCCACTGAAAAGATTCATTCTCCCACCTCTCCCAATGTGTCGTTGCTCATCAGCCAGACTCCCTAAGATTGGCGGTAGCCACACTCCTTAGAAAATGTGTTGGGGTTGCACAAGGTGCTCAGTTCCCATTTTGGGGGAGGCAGTTGTAGGGGCCCAGAGAAGGGGCTTCCACTGGAGGGCTTTGGGACTGGTTGATATGCAGACTCAGACCATCTGCAGGTCTAGTGGGTGCATTCCAAGGACTCCTGTCTGCCAGTCGGAGTTGGAGTGGGCCTGTGGTCGAGGAGGCACCAACCACCCACAGCAGCACCCCTGCAGCTGTCCCATCAGCAAAGCAGAGGGGTAGGAGGGGCAGCAGCTTTAGCGTGGGTTCCTGGCTTTAGCTGCACCACGGAAATTATGAACCAAGAGCACCAGACCTGAGCAGCCAGGTCACAACGCCCAGAACGGGGAGCTGGGCCCAGCCCCACAGGATGGGAGCCACTGTGGTGTGGTGAGTGCTGAGCAGCTCTCCAACCCCACCAGAGCCTCCTCTCCACACTGGGCAGGGATATTGGCTGGGGTGGAGGGTGCTGCTGTGGGTGGTCTGTGCCCCCCTCACCACAGGGACCCATTCAGTCGGGGGGCTGCGTCCACCCCAGGCTGGGAGTGAGAAAATGGTTTGTGCTGTGAGTTGTTTGTCTTTATTTTGCCACAGCCTCTGAGTCTCAGCCCTGTGCTTTGCCTGCAGGCTTAAACTAGGGGCTGGATCATCCAAGCTGTCAAATCCATCAGTCCAGCCTCCAATCTCTCCTCACCTTGGCTCTTCACCTCCTCATCCACCGCAGCCATGAAGAGATGAGGGGATGAGAACATGAGGGCCCAAAATAAACCCTGTCTGGAGAGAGAACAACTCCTCTGCTCTTATCAGAGCCCCGTCCCATCCCCCCTCCTGCTTCCAGGGGCAGCTGTTAGCCAGCCAGATGAAGAGACAATAAAAAATCTCCACACCTCCCAGCTGAGACACAAGATACATCAGAGACCAGACACAGATGCAAGAAAGTCCCATGGACATTTAAGAACATAAGAATAGCCATACTGGGTCAGACCAAAGGTCCATCCAGTCCAGTATCCTGTCTA